TTCATCGAACTCCTCAGATTTTGAAATCGGAGTTGTACAGGATTTACACTGACTCATCCCAAACTTTTCAAGAATCATTCTTGTATAGGATGACTGACTGACATTAATATTTCCCTTCTCATCTTGATTAATCTCTAATCCAAGGAAATATTTTGCAGGTTTAGATGTTATCTTGAACTCAGACTTTAATTCTTTTTCAAATATTTTTAGTTCTTCTTTATCGGTTCCTGCAACTAGTCCATCATCAACATACAGTGCAAGTATGAGTTTCTTTCCTCCCTGTATTCTAATGAAAAAACAAGTATCTGCATCGCTTTGTTTGAAATGTCTCTTTTTCAAGAATTCAGCAAAGCGTTTGTTCCAACATCTTGGAGCTTGTTTAAGTCCATAGAGACTTTGCTTGAGTTTACAGACTCTTCCTGAATTATCTTTAAAATCTTCAGGTTGCTCCATGTAAATATCTTCATCTAGTTTGCTGTATAGAAATGCTGTTGACACATCAAACTGCATGAGTGACATCTTTTCATTTGCAGCAACACTTAATAGTGTTCTTATAGTTGAACTTCTGACCACAGGACTGTAGGTTTCTTCATAGTCAATTCCCTTTTTCTGAGAAAAACCTTTTACCACTAGCCTGGCTTTAAAACGTTCAACAGAACCATCTGGATTGTGTTTTACCTTGTAGACCCATTTGCATGGTATTGCCTTATGACCTTTTGGAAGACTTACCAAATCCCACGTTTGATTTTCCTTTAATGACTGCATTTCACTGTTCATGGCTTTAAACCATTCATCTTTTTCATCACTTTGAATGGCATCTTTGTAGCTCTCTGGTTCAAGTACTTCACTTAATGCAGACATAACGAAAGGATCATAACGAGATGGCTTTTTGATATTATTCCTGTCACGTAGAACCATACCTTTGGTCTTTTGATTACAACAGTCAGATTGATCTTCTTCATCAGATGAAACTGAACTACGGTTGTGAACATCTTCATTAGTGTCATCTGAAATTTCTTCTTTTGAATCATCATTTCTACTACTTGAGTCATTTTCTGATTTGCAATTGATTTGAGGATCTGTTGTAAAATCTTTTTGAGTCTGATGTTCAAATGATGTTGTACATTTCATAGGTTTTTCTTGGAAAACTACATCTCTTGAGAATATCATTTTATATTGATTTTTGAGCCATATACGATAGCGTTCGTCACCATCGTAACCAACAAGGTAACCTTTTATGGCTTTCTTATCCATTTTTTGACGTTTTTGATCAGGTATGTGAACAAAACATGTAGAGCCAATTATTCTCAAATGGTTAATTCTCGGCTTTTTACCTGTCCAAATTTCAAATGACACTAATGAAGATGTTCACAACCGTAGTTCAGTTTCATCTGATGAAGAAGATCAATCTGACTGTTGTAACACCACTATGTGACGCTTATCAAACAAACAAGCATGTTTTATCCAACTGTAGCTCCGTTGCAGCTTTGAAAAGATATTCAGATCGTCACAACAAAGTTCTCTCAATAGTTTTAGAAAATATTAAAAAATGCGCAAGTTTGGAAGTCTTGTTGTTTGCCGATCTGGAGTGTGAAGATTTTCGTCCAGTATCAACGCTGTTTAAATCTCTGCGCCCTGATAAAGCACTGGTCCGCGACGACACGATCGAGATTTTAGAACTAACGATATGCCACGAAACAAATTTTAAAAAATCTAAAGAATACAAAATTGAAAAGTACTCTCAAGCTCTTCAACTTAATTTAAAGAGTGAATACAATAATTTTAAACTTTTAATTAAAACATTTGAAATTTCTACAATGGGTTTTTACAATACTTTTAATTTATCGCTGGTTAACTTAATTTGGTCGAACGATTTTAGAAACAATTTAATAAACTCTGTGTTATCATCATCTTACTCAATATATTGCGATAGGA